AAGGAAATCTTCAATGAAGGCCTACCATGAAAAACAGAGAGCAGAGCTGCTGTATTTGAAGGGAAATGGTTTGGAGTCATGCCCCTCCCCCAACTAGCAGGTCCAAAGGCACTGAGTGGTTCCTCTGGTGCTCTTAGTTCAGTCTTCTGACAGCCACAGGGATATTTAGCAAAAGAGCCACTGAGCCTGGACTATTAACTCAATAAATGCTTCTCAGCACTGACGACGCCCAGTGTGAGTATTATGCTTTGCAGATATTAATAGTAAGATCTTTTCCTTCAAGAACCTCAGGGCTGATGGAGGGGGAAAAAAGTGCAGATGTTAGTAAATCAAATGATCCATAGTCACTTTCTCTTAATTTGTGGCTGATAAATCACAGCAAAATGTCTCTGCTCCTGAAGAATTGAGCAAAATTTGTAACTCAGAGCAGAATTACTTTCATTTTAGCTTCAAGAAAATTCAAAGGTTCTCCCTTGAAGAGCTGAACTTGAACCACTGCATGTGTGTGGTTTTTTGCAACCACATGGTAGCTTTCCCAAAGAGGATCAATGCCTATAAATTATGAATGACTTTTGCATAGTTTCTTTTTTTTATTTTTATTTTTTGGCAGGCAGAGTGGACAGTGAGAGAGAGAGACAGAGAGAAAGGTCTTCCTTTTGCTGTTGGTTCACCCTCCAATGGCCACCGCGGCTGGCGCACTGCGGCCGGCGCACCACGCCGATCCGATGGCAGGAGCCAGGTACTTCTCCTGGTCTCCCATGGGGTGCAGGGCCCAAGCACCTGGGCCATCCTCCACTGCACTCCCTGGCCACAGCAGAGAGCTGGCCTGGAAGAGGGGCAACGGGGACAGAATCCGGCGCCCCGACCGGGACTAGAACCCGGTGTGCCGGCGCTGCAGGGCGGAGGATTAGCCTAGTGAGCCGCGGCGCCAGCTTGCATAGTTTCATTCTTATCTTTTATTTAAGTCAAATTTCAGTCATAGCAAACGAAAGGGGAAAAAAACAGAAAGAACGTTTCAGTCTTCTCGTTGTGATTTTTGCCTTGTAGAAAAAATAAGAAATCTAAGTGTCTTTTCATTAAGATGCTCCAGTGCATTCTCTGAATAATGTTAATTACCTAATAACATCAGCACAGTGCACTGTTTAATAGTCTCTCACAATTTGTTGGCAAAGCACTTTAACATCCATTATCTCCTCTGGGGCTCCAACAGCTCTGTAGTGAAGCAATCAGCTCCAGCCTTAGTTTACAATCCCTGGAACTCAAGGTCAGTCTAAGCTGTTGGCCTAGGATCATATGCAGATGCCATGCCTATGTTGCAAAGAGTATGGGGCTTAAAAACAAAACAGTGCCAATTTAAACCGAGAATCCTGCTTATCAGCTGTGTGATCATAGAAGTAGTCTTACTTTCCCAGGCTGCAGTTCCTTCTTAAAAGTTAACGAAGTGGGCCGGCGCTGTGGAGCAGCAGGTAAAGCTACCACCTATAGTGCCTGCATCCCGTAGGGGCGACGTTTTGAGTACCGGCTGCTCCACTTCCATCCAGCTCTCTGCTATGGCCTGGGGAAGCAGTAGAAGATGGCCCAAGTCCTTGGGCCCCTGAACCCATGTGGGAGACCCAGAAGAAGCTCCTGGCTCCTGGCTTTGGATCAGCACAGCTCTGGCCGCTGTGGCCAATGTGAGAGTGAACCAGCAAATGGAAGACCTCTCTCTCTCTCTCTCTTTCTCTCTCTCTCTCTCTCTCTGCCTCTCCTTCTCACTGTGTGTAACTCTGACTTCCAAATAAATAAATAAATCTTTAAAATTAATCAAGTAATCCTTAGTATATATCAGGCAACATTCTAAACTCTCTATATACATTTATTTGCTTAACCGTGACAATGCTATTATTAATAACATTATTATCTTTGTTATTACTAAAATAGGTGAAGAAATTAAAATATAGAGAAGTAAAGTAGCTTCCCTAAGGTCATGTAGCCAGGAGATGACAGAGCAAAATGCAAATTCAGTAGTCTGGCATTAGAGTCTGTGGTTAAATGACAATAATGTGGTGTGAAAAATGTAAATTAGGACTACTGATTATAACAGCTAGAATAGTCCTGTTTATGATGAAGGTTTGTTTTTCACTCATGTGTTATTCCCATTAAGTGAGGATGAAGTGAGAGTAGGCATACCACTATACACCATCCTCATTCAAGTATGCTGATCAAGGGGACTGCATTCCTGAACTCTGTGGTTGTTGGTGGATATGGAAGAAAGAAAACAAAAGGTAGTGGGATTGATCAAGTTCTTACAGCTCCTGCCCAGAAGTGACACGTTTCACGTCTGCTCACATTTCATTGATCAAAAATAGCATCAAAGGTGCAGGAAATTGCAGTCCTACTATATTCTTGGACACTTCAGTAGTGGACATAGTTGACAGACAGAACAAATGGCTGCTCTCAATAACTTTGCTTATGGAAACTAGAAAATGCATCAGTAGCTCATCAGTAGCTTCAGATTGGCGCAGTGTGCCGGCTGCAACGCACCAGCTGTAGTAGCCACTTTGGGGGTGAACCCAAAAAGGAAGACCTTTCTCTCTGTCTCTCTCTCACTGTCTAACTCTGCCTGTCCAAAAAAAAATTGATATTATCTAGTCTGTTAATTATATTGATATACTTAAAATGCATTTGTCATAAAATGTATAGGAATATAGACTTTGTAGGATAATGATGAGATAAGTAATAGTATTTTTAAATATTCTTAGTTAAATTAAACTTCAAAAATCTTTCTGCTTTAATCATTTTTGTTGGAGGCAGTTGGTTTGAACATAAGTTCCTTTTCTAGAAATCTTAGCACAGATTCTCCTTGACTTATGATGGGGTCCCATAACAATAAATTCACTGTAAGTTGAAAATATCATTTGGTCAAAAATATACCTAACTTATAAAACACCATAACCTAGCAACATGGCACAGTGTGGAGAATCAATTATCCTTCTGATTGTGGGGCTGCCTGGAAGCTGGAGCCCACTGCTGCTACCCAACAACTCTAGACAATATCATACTACATACCCCTGGCCCAAGACAAGATAACAATTCAGAAATACAAATTTGAGTTTTCCTAATGGTGAATGCATATTGCTTTGACAACATTGTGAAGTCAAAAAATTATCAAGTCAAGCTACTCTAAGTAGCTCTAAGTAAGGGATTGACAGTAGTTTGTGATACAGTCATGTCAAAGTGAGGTTCTAAATTCAATTTTACATACCTATCAGAGTTAAAAAATATTATAAATTAGGCAGATTTTGTGTGGGACTTGCATTCCTGACTGTCATGGCACTCATTAGTTATGCCAAAGTTCTAAGCCTGGTTGGTAAATTTTCTCCTTCCTTGATGTCTGTCAGTTACTTTTACAAGTTCATGAGAAGGAAATACATTTTCATATTTTTAACAAATGGGCTCAAATGTTACCAAAATTCACTTGGAAGATTTGTAAACAGGTTAGTAAGTGTGCAGCTCTGACAAACTTGATAGATGACATAATATTACTGAGGCTTGACAAAAATTCTCATGAAGATGAGAGTATTTCCAAACTTCCATTTTCAAAATGCTCTCTTCAGAGTATCAATTTCTTTTGAAAATCAGTTACTTTCTCACACAATTTAAACCATCATCTTAAGTTTGAAACAAAAAACAAATTATAAAAGCTTAGTTTTCATTCAAATATTTGCTGTAAGTGATATAATGGCAACCCATTATCAGAGAAAATCAACTAATTTAAAACATCTATCTTTTTTGTCAAAGAAAAATGGGTTAGATAACTGATCTCCAGATTTGACAACTCTTTTAAGCATTTAAATAACCATCATATTTTAGGGCAATGAAGATTATTCTAATTATTCTGTTTCAAAGTATTAAATTCCATCATTTGAATTGTTACATAAATGGCATTATTTCACCATAAACAAAATTTTTTTAAAATACTCAGAGAGTCCCCATATGATTTGAAAAGACTTCTACATATTCTATGGGTTGCCTTTGCACTTTCTTGATGGTGTCCTTTGCAGAACAAATGTACTTTTGACAAATCCAATTCACCTTTTTCATTTGCTGCTTGTACTTTTTTTCAATAACGTTTGATAGACAGAAATGTTGAGGGAAAAAAAAAAAAAAGAAGGGCTTGTGTGCCTGGAAAAGTCCTCCAATGGTGGAAGTCCTCTTTTCTCAAGATGCCCTCTCCATTGATACTGTTAGAGGACAACCCAGCATGGACACTGTAAGGTGGCTTAAATCAACCGATGTTTGTCTATCAAATTGGGTTAAAGCTTTTTCAAAATACAAAGCAAAAGCTGTGAATGGAAGTTCTAACCTTTCTCCCTGCATCTCTATGAATGAGCCAGTTCAACCCTGGAGTTAGAGAACTTTGCTTCAGGCACTATCAGAAGCAGTCCATGGAAGAGTTTTATACAGGACATGATAGAGGGATGAGGTCACATTAATATTCAGAAGGAGCCTCTGTTAGCCGCAAAGACCAAACCATGGGCTGCAAGGAGATCAGGCTGAGGCAGAGACCCCAGACAGAGGCATAGTGATGGCCTGAACGAGGGTCTTCAGAGATACACTAGCAAGAAGAAAACAACAGCAATTTGGGTTGTAAATGGAACGAGAAATGAAGTATGGAGTCATAACCTATCCCAGGTTTACGGACTTTTGCATAGAAAAGGTTCTAATGCCATACCCTAGACCCTAGAAACCCATACCCATACCCTACAAACCTAGAGGTTTGTAGCAGGTATGAAGAGAAGGTGAATAAAAACCCTTAGATGCGTAAAAAGGGACAGGAGTTTCAGGGGAGGCAGAGAATCGTTCCTGTTATCCAAGAATCCAAGAAGGCTTTATGGAATAGAGGACATTTAAATGAGTGGGAGACAAATGTATGGAGTAGGCAAGAGTGGGACTGCCACTGGTGTTCAAGAATGCTCACTGTCTTATACGTGTGTCTCTCCATCCATCCATGTCAACAGGTATGTCCGGTCGAGGACAAAGCATGATGTGGATATGAGGATTGGAATCCACTCGGGCTCCGTGCTATGTGGTGTGCTGGGCCTGAGGAAGTGGCAGTTTGATGTCTGGTCTTGGGATGTGGACATTGCAAATAAACTGGAATCTGGAGGAATCCCTGGGTAAGCCAAAGCAACATGCTTTCATTTCTTAACACTTGTCATTCAACTGACTTTGTGGCAGAAGGTTTGCTGTGTGCAGACTCTGAGTCATGAACCTAAGAAGCAAAAATTTGAGAAGAGACTGCACATTGCAACATTACACAAATATTGGTCCCCAATATCTAATAAAGTCTACCAGAGGCCACAAAGATGATGACATGACACTGTGGTGTTCAGGTCCCTGACCCACATAGTGCTGGTTATTTTACTTGGCTGCACATCAGAGTCAGCAGAGGAGAATTTTAGAAATACTGGTGTCCAAATTCCATGCTGCTTCAGTTAAAGCAGAGCCTGGGGAGAATCTATTTTAAGTTCTTGAATCAAGTCTACAGGAAGCCAAAGTTAAGACCTAAAGAGCTTCTGTGTGTATTTAACCATTGGCCTAATTCAGGAAATTCAGGACCTTCCTTGAAAATTCAGCTCCCCAAATCTGGCTGGGAAGACTGGTTGGTATAGAGCTCACTAAGGTGCTAGCCAACTGACCCTTAAGAAGTAGTGTTGTAATTCTGTTTACATAGCTTGGACCTAATTCGATCTCAAATACATGTGAGCCAGTGAACTAACTTTCTGCAGCTGCTCTCTATGAGCAGTTATAGAAATAGGTGAGAGAGAGACAGAGAAGGGTGATGGGGCGAGTGTTTGGCTCAGTGGTTTAGATACTACTTGTGACACCCATATCCACATTAGAGTCCCTGGGTTTGAGATCCAGCTCCACTTCCAATCCAGCTTTTTGCTGATGCACACCCTGGGAGGCAACAGGAAATGGATCTAATACTTGAGTCCCTGTCATCCATGTGGGAGACCTGGATTGAGTTCTGGGCTCCTGGCTTCAACTTGGCCCAGTCCTGACTGTTGTGACTTCTGGAGAGTGGTCCAGTGAATTAAAGATCTCTCCCTATATTTCTCTCCACCTTTCAAATAAAGTGAAAATAAATGAGCAATTAAATGTCAAAGTAATAAAAGATATACATGATAGGCAAAGAGATAGATGATATATAGACAGACAGACAGATACATAGACAGACAAATAGAATACATATATTCCTCTCTCCACCTCAGTGATCTGTCTTTGGAGTTGCAGAGTTCTCTACTATCTTCCATCATTCCTTGACAGTTATATTTAGTATTAGGTAATATTATATCACAGGAGAAATATCAGATTACCACGCTCCCTGTACTAAGCTCTATTGTCTTCAAGTTATATAAACTAAGCATAAAACCTGGCAGGAGACTTTCATGCAGATCTGTCTTACATCATCTCACCTGTGTGATCTCGGGCCCATACTTAACTTCTCTGAGTCTCACTTTCCTCACTGCAGAATGAGAGATCACAATGCTCTGACACTGTACCTTGTGAATTCATTTCCTTCCTCCAAGAGAGTGTCTCCTCATCTGCTACCTGGACATAATCCACCTCACTGATCTCTCCTGAGCATTTTACAAGGTGTGCAGGGACATCCCCATTCTTATGAGGGATCCCTCACTGTAACACCAAGGTAAGCCTGGCATGTCACTGCTGGGTTCCCTAAGTCCTTAAATTCTTTGAGATTTTTGGTAGCTACCTGCTGAATTTAAGCAACCATGTAGTTGATCCATCTCTTGCTAGGGCTGTATCTTAAAAACATACTTAACATGGGAATTATCAATATACTCAATAAATTCCCTTTGCAAATTCCAGAATATAGTTCTGAGAGCTTGCAAGATTATGTTCTGACATCTGGAAACAAGTTTAGACTATGTTTTCAATCACCTTAAGAAAGAGAAAAATAACTGAGTTTAAATCATGTGCCATGAATCTGAGCAATGGGTTCACTTCTGCCTGGCTGTGAAGGTTGAGACAAGTACCTCCACTTCCTATCCAGTTTCTTCCTGAAAGATTCGGTTGAAAGCACCTTCAGTCTCAAAGAGCTAGCTCCAAATACGCTAGTATTTATAAAAATACTGACTTTGCACACAATAGCCAGCTCTTCCATAGAATGGGATGTGCCAACGTGCAAAAAGGCAGAAATTCCAAAACAGATCTGCAAACTCTCCATAGTTTGAGGTTGGTGTGGCTGTATTTTGTTGCTCTTTAAATGCCCCACACTTTAACTTCTCTGAGCCTTGGACTCCTAGAAGAGCGGTTTTCAAACTTCAATAGGCTTTTGAATTAATCCCCGGAGGACTTGTAAACCATAGATTGTGGGGCTCTTCATTCTCAGAATTTCTGGTCCAATGTATCTGAAATGGAATTCTTCCAAGTCCCTGAGTGATGGGGACACTGCTGGCCGTGGCACCACACTTTGAGGATAGCTGTTCTTGAGCTTTTGTTATGTGAGATTGTGCATATTAAGTCCTTTGTCCTGGGCTCAGTAAATAATAATCATGGTTATGGTTACAGTCCTTATCATCTGATAGAGTTGCAGGGCTTTAGTCTGAAAGTCAAAGTCCTTGTGTGAGTCCAGCATTACCACAACCACTGACAGTCCTGAGCCAGAGACAGAGTCACTGTCTCTGGGCCAGTTTTATCATCTGCAAAGTGAGTAAAATAAAAGCCTACCACCTACATGAGATAATCCATGGAATCGAGCATACACCAGTACTTGCGGCAAAAAAAAAAAAAAAAAAAAGAGCTTTGTGCAAAATCAATGTTACGGGGCTGGCACCGTGGCTCACTTGGTTAATCCTCCACCTGCAGCGCCAGCATCCCCTTTGGGTGCCGGGTTCTAGTCCTGGTTGCTCCTCTTCCAGTCCAGCTCTCTGCTGTGGCCTGTGAGGGCAGTGGAGGATGACCCAAGTGCTTGGGCTCCTGTACCCGCATGGGAGACCAAGAGGAGGCACCTGGCTACTGGCTTCAGATTGGTGTAGCTCCAGCCATGGCGGCCATTTGGGGGTGAACCAATGGAAGGAAGACCTTTCTCTCTCTGTCTCTCTCTCTTACTAACTTTGTCAAATAAGAAAAAATGAATGTTACATGATTGTTAGATATTATTTACTCTCATGATTACTATATCCTAGCAATGTAAGGTTTATCTAGCATTCAATTTTTGAAAATATTGCCAGAGAATGAACTCATTCCCTTAGAGAGAAATGCAGTCACCAGAAACTCACCTATAAGTGCCTTACCCCAAAGCTCAAGTTAGTATAAAGGTTAAAAATAAACATCTGTAGTACAGTTTCTAGCAAAGCACTTAAGTGTGTGCTGACCAGTCCTGCATCAGAAGGATCAGTGATAAGTGAATATGAAGAAAATGAGCCATTGGACTTTTACAAAATTCTTCCAGGAGGTTTGTTTTGCACAGGAGAGAAATACTGGCTTCCAGCACCTAATTCTGAACTTGTTCTGAAAAAGCAGGTTGGCCATCCATTTCATAGAGGGTCAGATGATTTGTCATTCCTCCAGGTCAATATTGCCAAGTTCTTACTTATTAACAAAATGCATCAATGAGAGTATTTTGTACTTGCTCAACACACTTCTCAAGGGAGTCAAACATCTTTCACACACTTTTAATATCATTAGCTTTAAATCAGTGACTATGTACAGGGTATTTACATGAAAGATGGGGATAATGTGCCTTAAATTATTAGCAATGCATTCTCCGTAGTTTTTATGTCCTTACTTGTCCTTTGCAATGAACTGTTCTCTTTGTGAATAGGAATTTAACAGAATGGGTTAAAAGAGTGAGAGACAGAAACAAACTAAAATACAGTGCATTTGGAAATGCTACTCTAAAGTGATTTTAATTAAAAAGAAAAGCATCGTTGTTTCCACAGATATATTGGTTCTAGAGTCCCAAAACCCAAGCAAAGTCTAAGCATCTATCTTCTTCATTCATTCATTCATTCATCCATCCATTCCAAAGTCCAGTGACGTTGGGTTAGAGAAATGACTGAAGCTGAATAAGGAGCAGGAAACCACTAGAAAGCATGCAGCAGCACACTGAACTTGAAGAAATATCATGGAAGAATGTCATGAAATGAGCTTGGGAGTAATAGGGCACAAACAGAAGTTTCAGAGGCCTCATTCAAAAGTTAGGCTATCTCCTGCAAGCCTAGATAAGGCATGAAGTAGTAATAATATGAACACAATGAAATTTGAGACTATTCCTAATAATTTATATATTTTTATATTTACAGTGTACCATGAACTGTTTTAAATATTTTTATAATACAATCAATCTTATAAAACAATAACTTTATGAGATAAGTACTATTATCTTTCCCATTTCTCTGAATGAGAAAATTGACTTGTAGAAAGGTTAAGTAATATGTCCTAGATCTCTCAGCTAATAAGTGGTAGAGCTGGGGTTTGAATCCAGATAATTTTGCAACAAAGTCGATGTATATAACCTCCTGTCTAGTCTACACCAACCATAATGCTGCTCCATAAGTAATCTGCCTGAGTTGACAGTTATGAGGACAGAGCAACTCTTCCCCAGAAGTATTTACCATATAAGTTTCCTTGAGTCAGGCTTTCCTTAAGGCCTTTGATGTCACATGTTACTTTACTAAAGAAAAAAAAAGAAACTTAAACCTTGCGCTGCAGTGGCTGACAGTTATGCAGTAATGAGTCATTTAACTTGTGAGTGAACCGAGGCAGCTATCTGCCTGCAAGTGTCCGTAGTTTTGCTATGTTCCTCGCAATGCACATGTTACAGGAGAACGTGCATCTTACTACAGTTTTTGCAAAGGACCTGCGGTGGAGCCCCATGGGTTATAAGACTTGCACTTGATCTTAAGAAGAGTTTAAACAAGTTGGAGAGACAGGAAAGGTTCCAAGATGATAACACAACTGTTGTTATATAGTGATTTGGGCAATAGTTGTCATTAAGGTCCAGAGACATTTATGACACTTATTTTTCCAACATAATCAATACACTGAAGAAAAACACTGATTCTTAAAGTTTGCTGGAATAAGACTGCCACTCATAAAAAACTCAAGAGGAAGTGCTCAGGTGTGGCTCAACATGGCTGTATGCTAAAAAAGACTGTAATATTCTTTGGGGTAAAGTCAGTAATACCCTATTGATGAACTTACGGTTAAACATCTACTCTCTTTTACTCTTTCCACTTTTTAGCAGTGTAAGTGTTGTCCTTGGTCCTAACAGTATCTCATGTACAGCCTAACAAAAGTTTTGCACAGCATAGAAGGCAGTAATACCCTTTGCAAGCAAGATCAGCCATGTGTGTGACTTGTGCTTTGTACACACAGGAGAATTCACATTTCCAAAGCCACCCTGGACTGCCTCAATGGTGACTATAATGTGGAAGAAGGCCATGGAAAAGAACGAAATGAGTTCTTGAGGAAGCATAATATAGAGACCTATTTAATTAAGCAGCCTGAGGAGAGTCTGCTCTCCCTGCCGGAAGACATCGTCAAGGAATCGGTGAGCCCCTCTGACAGGAGAAACAGTGGGGCAACATTCACTGAAGGATCCTGGAGCCCCGAACTGCCCTTTGATAACATTGTGGGGAAGCAGAATGTAAGTCCTTGCTTCTTTGTTCAGGTTAGCCACCAGTGCATGCGAGAGTGCATCTCCGACCCACACACTGCAGAGGAAACTGATTCCTCTTTAACCTTTTCTTCACCTAGCACCGTAACTGCAAACGACCAAACAGCTCTCTCTCTCAGGACAGAAGTAACCAATGTGTGCAATGGTAGGAAATTTTTATGTTAAATGTCATGTGACATTTATAATTTTACCAAACAAAAACACTCATGTTGGAAGAGATAAATTTGAAGTTATTAAATTAAAAGAGGGGAAGGTCAAATGCAAGAGCGTGACCCTTTTTAAGCAGCTGACAGCAGGCAGTTTTGAGTTGGCTTCTGAGGTTCAAAGTCAGTAGAACACCCTTGATTTGGAACACAGAAAGCACCAAGTGATGCTAAAGTATCTGTAAGGGAGCTCAAGCCCAGCATGCAATTTCAAAGTCAATCACATCATTCCATTTTTATATAATAACAGATTTGCATCTTATATTTTGAACAGAGCTAAAGAGTCAGCACATAAAGAGTAAATCGTCAGTAAGCAAAATTATATTTAAAAATTATTTCTTCAAATATCAGAAATACATTCTACCCAATGAGATGCTCAGACTCTGTGAGGCACTAGAGAACTGAGGCTGAGCCAGGTCAAGAATCATAGTATGGGACCAGCACTGTGGCAGTGCCTGCAGTGTTGGCATTCCATATAGGTGCTGGTTCAAGTCCCAACTGCTCCACTTCTGATCCAGCTCTCTGCTATGGCCTGGGAATGCAGTAGAAGTCCTTGGCACCCTGCACCCACGTGAGAGACCTGGAGGAAGTTCCAGGCTCCTGACTTCAGATCAGATCAGCCCAACTCCAGCCCTTGTGGACAAATGGAGAATGAACCAGTGGATGGAAGAATCTCTCTCTCTCTCTCTCTCTATCTCTCCCTCCCTCCCTCCCTCCCTCTGTAACTCTGCCTTTCAAATACATAAATAATATTTTCAAAAGGACCATAGTATATACAGGGATTGAGTCTCTTCTCCCAGGATGTGGGTTCAGAACATCACCAACCTACCTGCTCTGATGTGGGTTTTCCTTTTAACCATTTAGACAGAGCTCATATAGTTGAATTCATGTAAGTTAGATGTTGTGACTCCACTGTACTTTTTTAAACTTTTACTTAGAGAAAGAGAGATGGAGGTGGAGAGAGAGAGAGAGAGGAAGAGAGAGAGAGAGAGAGATTGATTTTCCATTCGCTATTTCACTGTCCTCTGGACCCAAATGCCCACATCAGCCAAGGCTGGGCCAGGGTAAAGCCAGAAGCCTAGAACTCCATCCAGGTCTCCCACATGAATGGAAGGGACCCAGGTACTTGAGTCATTGCTTGCTGCCTCCCAGGGTGAGCACTATCAGGAAGCTGGATCAAAAGCAGAGATGGGATTCAATCCCAGGCACTTGAATATGGGATTTGGGCAGGCATTCCAAGCAGCCTCTTGTCCATAGGTCTTTGAAAAACAAATGAAAAAGGTCATCATGTAAGATTTAACTGACGGTGCCTGGCTCTCCTGAGCAGAACAGCAGCTGAGAGTACTATAGAGTAAATGGAACAAACTGAGAGTAGTGTCTGGAGCTTTATGAGGCTTCAGAAGGTTAATTATTAAATATGAGGTCTTGAACACTTCTCATTAAATTGTAGGAAAGAAAAATCTGTCTCCTTGAAGACACTTAAAAAAAGAAAAGGTTAAAATGCTGAAAGTCTTGCCTCTTTTCTGCCTTTGGAAGATTGGTGGGGCACTCTGAAGCCAAGTTAAAATGGGTTTCCTTCCACTTCTGTGAGAAGGAGCTATGAATCAATGCATGGGCCAGATCCCACCAGGAAAAGCTGCAAGTTCCAGACTGAACTCGGCCTGCATGTTTGGCAAGCGTTACCCTAGTTCTTTCCTACTTTGTAGTGAGTATTTAATTTCCCAAAAATTCTTACACCCACTAATCATCTCTGAATCCAATGCCTAGTTCTTTCCATCTCTGAGTGGTATGCACGGTACAATTTGCTATTATTTAAAATAAGGGTCTTACACATTCTGCAGTGAGTGCATTTTCTTCTAGCAGTGCCCTCTCTGCTTTCTGCCTATCAGCTTGAACCTGAATGCTGGTTATTTAAAGAGAACAACGAGCATGCCTCACTGTGAATATCCCCCTCCATAATGCTGCAGAAAATTCTGTCTTTTGGTTTTGTTTTGTTGGTATTTTTATTTTTCATTTTGGAAAATTGTCTCCATTTAAGTTGATTGTGGGAATTGGGATAATTCTTGTTGTAATCTGAATTATACCTGACCTTACTATTGATAATTTAGAATCAAGAAGAGAGTGATAGAGACGCTTGGCTTTATTCCATGATTGATTTATCTAGTAGTAAAATGTATAGTAATTCTTGAAATATTTCATTGCCTATTCCTAAATATATTTGCTGATATCATAAAAATTATTATAAAATGTGTCATTGTTGGTCAAAATTATTAGTCTTGATGTTTAACCATACTGGATATTTCTTGCAATGCCTGAGTCCACCTGTGTCATCTTTGTACATAGACTTAACTCTTACAGTCAGCGAACCATGGTGTGCAATTCAAAAGCATACTGAGTCCCTGAAGGAACTCAAGACTTATCTGGCTAAGCCTACAAAGTGCCAAAACACTCTTTCAATCCCACAGAAGGCCAAACCATCTGAGTGTTTGCACAATACAGATAAAACATACTAATGCTTCCTTGGGGATTTTCCAGCTAAATTACCCCAATGTTTTAATTTCTATTGATTCATAATGTGTGCCTAGAAATATTTTAATGACATCAGGTAACTGTGCCATATTCTGTGCTATGTATGCAGAAGATGTTCAGAGTTACATCCTTACATATTCATCCATTCAATGAGGATTAATTGAGTGCATACTATGTGTCAACTACTGCTGGTAGAGAAAAGAAAGAGGGACAAAGGAAGGAAACATGTTAGAGGCAAGGTCAGCAAGAATTCGATGTGCTGCATGAAGACAGGAATTATATCTCTTTCGCCTATCACCCATTAACCTTCAATTAGGATAATAACTGATAAATCACAGGACATGATTAAAATGTGTTGAATGAGTGGATGAAATTATCTACGTGGGTGGTACAGGAGAAAAACCAGTCAAATTTGACTTCTAGGATTTTTACCTGTATGACTCTGTAAATTATAGAACTTCCAACTGAAATAAACAATGCTTTACTGGAAAGAGTTTGGAAAGAAAAGACTAGAAATTCTGTTTGGGACATGCTGAGCTTGAGGTACCTGGAAAAGAGCCAGGGGAAGAAATACAGAGAGAGACACAGCTGGGTATATGTTTCTGAAACTCAGGCATAAAAGAACTAGAAATACATGTGGATCTGGTCATCATATGAGTCTGAGTCCTGGTAGAAGCTAAGAAAGTAAAAGAGATCACTGTGGGGAATGTGTAAAATTAAGAAATAAGAAGGCGGAGGGCAGCCCTTGAGGACACCACATAGAAAGTGAAAGAAGATTAGGATTCTTGGGCATAGACAAAACAGTCAGAGTGATCAGAAGAGAGCCAGGGGATCTGGTATCACGGAAACCTAGCATAAAGCATCTTAAGGAGGAGAAGGGTCATCAACAAAATCAAACATGATGGCAAAGAGGCTCAGTAAGATAAAGGCTGAGAACTACCTATTGGAATTGATTTGAAGAGAACCATTGGCAAGAGCCAGGCTTAGTAAGATGGTAAAGTCAGAACCCTGAGTGTTACGGTTGATAAGAGAGAGCTTTGGGTTTCCAGGAACTCCAAGTTCATCCCAGTCCCTGACCCTCTAACCATCTCAGCAGTCCAGAAAATCACTAACAGTTCTGTATCCCCACGTGAGTCCTCCAGTCCCTATGTATGCCTGACCATACTCCTTCGGTCTTGTGGTCATCTTCCCTGTCCCTGTATCTGGCTTAAAATTTCTGGTTTCAACCAGTCCGGGTTCTTGAATTCCGGTTGCCCTTGAACATCCTGAGTACTTATGGTTTGCATCCTTGGCTCTTGACAAGGACGTATGTTCTGTATGTTGATTTGGTACCGTGGCCCCATGAACTCCGTGAACGAAGGTGCCAGTGAGGCTTCCCAAGCCCTGAGCTTCCAAGGGGAATGAAAGCAAGTAAACTAGAAGGTGAGAAATTTATGATGGCACGTAAATGATTGCAACTTCAGATTACAAACGAGGAAGTATAAAAAGTAAACCAACAGTCAAGAATTTCACATTTGGGGGAAGATATCCAGAAATTTCAAGATTAGATTGTTGGGTGAGTCATAAACATGATCATTCAATCACTCACAATAAAAACAAAATTGGAATGGAAAGGAAGACTTTTCACAAAGGATCTTGGCTTAAAATATTAGGTTTTTCCCTGTTGGTTCATGCTCTAAATAGATACTATATTTGGGTTTGGTCTCTTTGTTCATTCAGTGATTTAATAGGTACTCCAATATCCTAGATGGAGGTCCAGTTATGAAAATGCAGACTTGCAGCCGGCGCCATGGCACACTTGGTTAATCCTCCGCCTGCAGTGCTGGCACCCCGGGTTCTAGTCCTGGTTGGGGCACCGGGTACTAGTCCTGGTTGCTCCTCTTCCAGTCCAGCTCTCTGCTGTGGCCTGAGAGGGCAGCAGAGGATAGCCAAGTTCTTGGGTCCCTGCACCTGCATGGGAGACCAGGAGGAAGCACCCTGCTCCTGGCTTCAGATCAGTGCAGAGCCAGCATTAGGGGAGTGAACCAACGGAAGGAAGACCTTTCTCTCTCTCTCTCACTGTCTATAAGTCTCTCTCTGTCTCTCTCTCTCTCACTGTCTAACTCTGCCTGGCAAAAAAAAAATGCAGACTTGATCCTTGTTCTCTGTGAGCTTACATCTTCAGGGAGTCAAGAAGGCAGAAAATTAAGCAAAACAGACAAGTGCTATGAAGGAAATAGAAAGAGATTGGTGGCCAGG